ATTAGCAGCACTTAATGAGCAGCCAATGTATAACAGGCACTTTTTTTTTATCATCTCATTATTGTTTTCATTAGGATTATGCGTATCATGACTTATTTGTATGGAAACCATATAGAGACAATGGTATTATTCCATTCATACAGAATGAAAAATCCCCCATAACTCAAACTACACCACACTCTTTTAGCTACTGATACTACAATATTCCAAAGTCATAGCTATAGTCACATTGGAAGAGAGGGCTATAGATCTATGAACCTATAAAGAAATGGCCCTCTCCAAAGTAAGCAACCTAGGAAGCCAAGTCAACTACACGTATATACACATATTACATAAATGCATTTAAGTAGCTATAAATAAATGCTATGCTAATCACCAATTCATTTTCAAAGTATTTATAGAGTAAATGTTTACAATTCAAGCTCCTTTTACTAACATACTATTCATATAACTACAGCTGATAAGATCTTACTATACATGCACAAATACTGATTCATATAGTTCAACCTTCCCTAACCTCCTTCCCTCACAAAAGTCAGGGCCTTTAAAACATTGGCAAATCTAAAGCCCAAAGATTATCCAGCAAAAAAAAGAGGTTTCAGAGAGTGTGTGTCAAGAGTAGAACACAGGTCAGCAAACTATGGACAGCAAGCCAAATCCAGTCTAAAGTTGGTTTTTGTAAACAAAGTGTTACTGGAACACCCCCACGCCCACGCATTTCATGGTGTCTATGGTTGCTTTTACTCTATAAGCACAAAATTAGGTGGTTGCAAGAAAGACTTGTTAGCCCCAAAAGCCTAAAAGATTCAGGCTATCCCCTATTTGCAGGAAAAGTCTCCCAATGTTTTAGGGGACTCTTGAAATCAGATCATTTTTATAAGAGAATTACAGTAAATATGAGAATACCATAAGGGGTCCCCCTTCCCTCTCATCTCCAAGTACAGTAAATTCAGAGTAGATTTTCCAAATTATTTTATTTGCTGATACAGTACTATATAGAAAGTTTAAAAGTAAAATATATTATTATATATTATAATAAAATCCTTTTTTAAAAAGAATTACTATTTTCAAGACACAGGAACTATGCTTTATATAATAAAAAACCTTCATTAAAAAGGTGGTCTTCCTTCACACTCATATATTTTAGTGCTAATTAGCTTGTAGATTCCCCTCTATCATTTTTGGGAGCTCATTATGATTTCAAAGGTGTAAGAAAACTTTAAAAAATGCAATGTAAATCATAAGTGACAAGACAAAACTCTGTTAAAAAGGACCTGATAAGGCAACGCCTGTGGCTCAGTGAGTAGAGCACTGGCCCCATATACCAAGGGTGGTGGGATCAAAACCCAGCCAGCCAAACTACAAAAAAAAAAAAAAAAAAAAG